CTTGGGGTGAGTTGGGGGTGGGGAAGGGGGTGGTCAGGTCGGGGAGAAAGTATGTGGGTGGGGATAAGTTTCTTTTTATGTTTTTGTTTTGGTGTTTTTTTCTTTAATTTTCTCCAAATTTTTATTATATATTTTTAATGATTTAATAGAAAATTGTTGATAATTTAGACGATAGGGGGGAAATTGGCGAAAAAAAGAAGTTCACATCCTTAATATATATTTTTAATATAAAAAAGGATAGGGGTAAATCGAAAGTTAGGTACAAGTTCAGGAGGTAAATCACCAGTTAAGCCTTACATAAATATAGGAGCAAATAATTGCATGCCAATAATTAAGCATCACATGTACCCGAAGCTATCGTATGGACCAAATTACCCCTAGTGGAAGGGCGCGAAAGCCAGAAGCACATTCATCGCTCATTAATGAAGGGATGAGTGATGTTATTGCCTCAAATTAGCTCAAGACGATTCCCAAGAACCGGGTAGGCTTAAAATAAGCCTTACATGGGCTTGCAGAACACCCCCAAGCAGGGTCAATCCTTGGGCAACTCGCCTACAAAATGGATCAACATTGATCCCCAAGATCTTCCTAATTACTGCGGTAATCTATGAGATTATGGCCATACATCTTGGACAAATATCTCACACATCCCAAGTCAAATGACTAATTGATTGGGCGTGTGAACTAACGGGTCATAACGCCCCCAATTAACGCAAATACACAAATGAGCCATATAAAACCCAACCTCCACCGCGATGAGGAGGTAACGTTCCATCAGCCTAAGAAACCCTATTTCTTCTATTCTTAGAACTAACTTTGGCATCGAAAGCTCTTTGGCTTACACCACATTAGTGTGTTCAAAGACTCAGGATCCTTTATTCTCTCTTAAATTGCAAGGGCAATGAAGTCTTCTTCAGAAGCAGATGAAACCATTCCCCACAGCAAAAGTATTGAAATTAATTGATCCTTGATTTGTAGGGATTGATATCCTTTTGAAGATGAGCAAATTCTTTCGTTCAGGAAGAGACTTCGTGTTAAGCTCATAGCAATTTTTCTTAATTTTTTTATTTCCAATTTCACTTAAGTTAATTTAGCCCATAGCTTATCCATTTCCAAACTCTAATTCATCTCTTTAAATCTGAATTCAACTCATTTTAGAAAATCTTAGTTCTCCCCTCGTACACACCAACAATTTGATCTTGTACTTCATATTGAACATTGTGGAGATCATTAATAAATAAAAATTAAGAATGAGACATCGTATTTCCTTAGCCAACTATATAATTTTTAGTTTGATGAGAAAATGTGTTGACCTTTGTATTTTAAGGCCATTCCAAGAATCTATCCATGATATGATAGGTGATTCAAAGAAAGCTGCATATATTTTTATTGCTTCAGAACCTTTATTGCATTAATGATCTGCCTAAATTTTTCATAAACTAAGTTAGCCCCTATGTGCTAAACAGTGGCGGAGCTAGGAATTGATGTTAAATGGGACCTTCTTGCAAAATATAAAAATAAAGGGAATGAGAACATAAACCCTACATGTTCTCGTAGAGCTTCTTGAAAATCATTTTCAGACCCTGGATCAATATCCCCTAAAGTGAAAATCAGGAAATAAGCTTTAAATTACAACTTTTACACATCAAGTTCTAATTGTTATATATATAAAACCCTTGTATCCTCTTTCACTATTCATTTCAATTCATACACACAATGTTAAATTGTCTTCACACAGTGAGGGAGGGAGAGAAAGAAAAAGGAGAGTGAAATAGCTTGGAAGAAGAAGAAGAGAGAGAGAGAGAGTTGAGTAGAGGCTTGAGACCCCTCTGGTCTCTACATGGCTCCACCACTGGTGTTAAAGATTTAATAGATTCCTTTAAATTTTCCAATTCGTAATTCTTTTGGGCAAAGTAGGCACCTAAATATGCCATGTAATGTCAAATGTGAGTAAGAATTCAACTTTCAAATGCAGATATGGGCTTAGCCAAGTTGGCTAGAGCATATGTGCTCCTCACTCTGCATCCGAGTTTGAATTTTCCTCTCCGTTGTTTAGATTAGATTAAAGTAGAATATCGCTTGTATTAAAAGAAAAATATGAATTTCAAATTAAGTTGACATACACATACATGTTCAGTTAAATTAAAGTCTTCATATAATTTTTAATCATTTCCATAATTTTTAATTTTCAAACATTTTGAAAATTGAGTTTGATTTCATAGTCAACGAAATAGTGCTCCAAGACTTTAGGCAATTTGGTTGTCTCATATTTCGTCCTAATTAATAGTAAAGGGCAAGTTGAAACCTAGAAGAAACTTGGCAGCAAAGAAAAAGAAAGACCTAAACAAAATAAATAAATAACATTTAATTCTAGGGGCTGGGATGCTTGATCCTCCTCTCCTCTGTAGCCTTCTCTGCTCCATCTCAGCACTGGTTGCTGGATTTCTAGGGATCGATGTAATAATAATAAACAATCACAATCAGTGCCAAAATGACCATTCAACCCTCTTATCAACGGAATGGACCCCACAACTGGGACGGATAGGATAGGACCAGAGGGATCAAAGTTTGGGTCAGCTACTCTGATTCTGAGCTTTCATCCCTGCACTGCACACCAACCCATTTTCAGCACTTGTTGCAATGAATCAATTTCATGCAAATAACTACTCATTTTTTCTATTATAAAAAAAAACATACAAAAAGGGAATTTTGTATTTTGCTTTGTGAAGAAAAAGGAGAGATCCCAAAGAGTAAGGCTAAAGGGTGGGTAAAGAATAGCCATTCTATTTTTTATTTTGTTTGACACAAGCCATGTTGGGAAATGGAGAATTTGAACACGACTTCACGAATAGAAATAATTGCTCTTAATTACTTGAGTTATAATATTTTTATTAGATACATGAATGCGATCGAGAGATTTTTTGCCTACCCAAAGATAGAAAAAAAAAGAAAAAAAAGAAAAGGTGAGATTTGTGTGCAGCAAGGTCGGTGACCATAACATGGAAATGGGACAGTGATGCCTCAATTCCAAGAGGGGCCCGTTGACTTGTTACTGTAGGTAAAAAACCTCCACTTGCCAGTCACTAATTAAGAAAATGTTAATCCCTATGGGATCCCTCTCAGTTCTTTTTTTGAATTTAAAAATAAATAATAACATTAATTTAAAGTATAAATTATTGTTATTAATAATGGAGAGGCATCGGTAGTAGTCCGTGTAAATTGTATTACTAATATTGCATATATGATATATCTATCCACCATCCTATAGGCAGAGGCCCAGAGAGAGAGAGAGAGAGAGAGAGAGAGAGAGATAAGAG